GAAAGTTGGCGCGCGGTAATAAGAAGACTTCTCGCGGTTGTAGACCGTGGCGTTAGGAGTCGGAGGTAAGGTAATCCGTGAGTATGGCAAGATCCTGGCGGTTCGTGTTCAGAACTCCTCGGCAAGAACGCTAACGCTTATTAGAGTTTGCTCGTTAGAACAATCGCGGAGAGCATACGGCAGAATTAGCCGGCGTGCCATTTAGTGATAGCTGCGCGCTTCTTGAGCAAATTGTAATTAACAACGGAAAACTGTCATTCACGCGAATACCTACTGAGTTATTAGATTGTCGTAATGTTCCGTGTCAAATTGATTTATGGCTTGATAAATGGCGTTTCGATGAATACTCTTTCAATCTCCTGTTCCTTTCTTCAAATTTCTTTCATTCGGAAAAATATGAACATTTTCACGTTGATATATTATTCTGTGCATGGAAAAAGGAATCGACGTTTACGATTCGTGAATAAAAATGAGAAAACAAATTTAAAGAAAATACAATTCACGCTTCAGTAGACGAGATTCGTTACGGGTATAATTGCATTCTAAACGTCTCAGCACGCGGGTCAACCTTTTCAGCGTTTCCTATTCGTCTCGAGCGCTCGATAAACTCCATTTAGGAGGCAAGCGCAAAGGCGTGCTTTCGTGAAGTAATGCAAAGCATCAGACTCGCCGCGTCGGAGCGCAAAGTCCTGATAATGCAAAGCGGAATAAGGCAGTCCGCCGGGCTCGCGAGCCGAGATACCGCATTGCTAAAAGGGGATTGGAAACTGGAATCTACGTGCGAAGTAGCACTTGTCGCCGCATTCCCTCGCCCTACAATGTCGAAGATCCCTTCCCTTCAGACTTTTCGGATTCGCTCGCATCTACACGGCACATGGAATCCACGCAGCCTGCAACGGGAAACCGCGAGAAATCGCGGTGCGCGTATCGAATTACTTTAAGGAAGGTAAAACCTGAGAAACTAGATCGCTCTCGAATTTTATGGCTTCGGCTTTCGCCACGCTTAGCTTTCTTACCGTACTCTCCCAGCCGTGGGAGATATTGTAATCACTTAAAGCTCCCGTTTCCTCGTTGTAGCCGTACTGAATTATAATGTCAGAAGAATTATTATGTGAATCTTTTTCTTGCGCTATATATGTCGGAATTAAATTTTTTGTAGGTACGCCACATTTTGTGTAATATAGATTAATAAAATATATTCTGAAATTCTCGGTTTCACTGCTCTGTATTAAGTACGCGCGTAATTCAGTCTGCACAACTATTTATTAATCTTTGAACCCAAAAGAGAGATTACTGGATATATATATTTTAATAATTAATATTATACGTTGGATGTTGCGAAAAAATTAATTTATTTCAATGTGTATTCGCAAGGAAAAGTTTCACGCATCTTACTTTTCTTGTATTGTTATATAACGAATATTTTATGTTCGTAATATCAAATATAGAGATTACATAAATAATATTTTAGACAAATTATGAATATCAAATTGCTAATCTTCATATGAAATACAACTACGATTAAATCATTTAAAAAATTCGCTATTATTCATTGTCATGAAACAGATCGTTACGTATCCTTTGTTCTTCGCGCAACCTTCATGTTGAAGCACATCTTATATGCGTAAAGGACTATGTATGTTGCAGTTATGAAGCTACCATGGTTATCTTGCCCCTGTCAACTTGCCCGAAACGGCTTAATGTAACGGCGCGGCTTCTAGTTTGTAAGTTATGAATTCCTCCAGTAATCTGATATGCAAAATACGTACATATGCTACAGCTGAGTCTCCTCAAGTAGAGTGTCGCTTATTTTCTTATTTTCTAGATTACATCTGAGAATCCGTAAATCTCCGTTTCTCAGAAATGAAAAGTCTTGTCAATCAAAATGAGATTCGCTTAAAATTAGATTCCGTTTCATTTAAACAATTTAATACGCGCCCTCGTGTGTCAGACGAAAGAACGATCTTTATCTCATGATAATCAGTAATGTCGTGTGGTAGCAACCAGTTGCTGTTTGAAAAAAATTTCAAGACAAAACTGAACGTATTCGCCATGTTTTCAGAGTATCCACTGAATTATGCACGCGTCCCCTTAAATTTTCACACGCTGGATCCCGCACGTAAAGTGTTACGTTCGTTTATTCGAAGATTTATTCCTAGTTCGTGAGAAAGCGGAGGAGCACAGCTAGTGCGCTCCGTACTAACGTGTGTATACAATACGTACATTCGCACGGCGCGTCACGTACAACGTGAAAAGTGCCGCTTAACTCGCAAAGTGATTCGAGTGGATGGAGAGGCTAGCTGGTCTGTAGCGTCTCTCTTGAAAAACGAAAGTCTCTACCAATTCCTATCCTTTCCTTTTCGTCTCGAGTACCTCGTGCGACTCTCGAAATCAAAGAACGGACGGACAGCTTTAACCGCTGGTACTGCAAACTCCAGACTTGAACTACTCGTGCTGGCCAAATAAGAATAGAAAGAAAGGCTTGCTTCTAACGTGTTTAAATTGTCAAATGCGAGAATATTCAGAATCGTCAAAATTAATTTCAAATAAAAATTTGATCATCCGATGTTCCTTACAATCTCTAAGCCTGCGTAGAATAATTTAAATCAATTTTTTTTCGGCAAACAAAGATCATTTACAAAAGAAAGATTAAATCTACACAAGAGATTAAAATTTACGTGAGTCAATCGGCCGCGAGATCATTTCTATTCAGCTGTCCAATATTTACTCGCGTTCGTTAAGGTAGTCGGTTTTCAGGCGGTGCAATTTGTTCTGGCACTTCTGTTCACTGACGGCGCCGTGTATTTTTCGCAGTCCTCGGCTATCTCCCATCTACCCGCGTCTCTCGCAGTCGGCCATACACGAGCCGTGAACTCTATGTGAACTTTTTAAGCTGTTTACGGAGTATCGTGTCTACTGCGAGCGGCTTTATCGCGGCTTATGAACTTGGTTCGAGTTCGATGATCGAGCGTGTGAAAAGACGAGCGGCGAAGGGAGGAGGAGGCAAGTTATAAATTCGTTATAACTCGTATACAAAATATCGACGGGGTACGATGGCATCTCCAAAGTAAACAGACGGAGGATCTACGCGCGTGTTTCCACGGCGCCTGCATCCATTACAACGGCGAAAGCTCTTAAAGGCAACTGTTTTCGAAAGGCAACCGCAGAGACGGTTCCGTAGCGCGATTTTTAAACGCTCTCCCGACATCTGTCCGCGGATTGTTATTTTCATCACGGCAATGGGAAGATTCTCTCGGGAGAAGCTTTTATTATACTCGGGAGGTATCGCTTTTGCCTACCTTTCTCGCGACCGCGAGAAACAAAACACACTTGGTCCCGACCGACGATTTAAATTCACCGCGCGCCTGCCGTCCGCGACGTTTCCCTTTACTTCATTTGGCACGGAACTTTTGCCCGGTAAGTAAAACTTCCTCCGGGATCCAGCCCGGAGCTAAATGAATTAAACGTTTTGAAGACGGGCGATACCAGGCGGTTCCAGCGGCGCGGCGGTGCACGACGACGTTCGCCCGCTCCTGCTCTTCTTTCCTCGCGTTGGCTTTAAATCCACCTTACCTGTCCGCCGATATTGTTTCGCCCACGCCCGAGGAAAGTTTGTTTTTAATTACTTTACTTTCGGCATAAATTGCTCGCAACGTTTACTGCCGGTCGCCGTGTGCAATAACCTCGCTTATACGCGCGAACGCAAATCTTCGAAAGTGCGCTCCCGCCGTGTACGACCACATCCGTGGCTTTACTACTTGCCCGCATGTAATGGCATTTACGCCGAAGTATATCGACGTACCACGGCATTATAAACATCTCTCCGCGTTCTCGCAAAGTAAACAATTTTTTTTTTCGAAAATATAGATACGGTGCATACTGGCGGTTCTCAATTATTCTATAATTATAAACTAAGAAAAGATCAACTACGCGTTAACAGTGGTAAACGCTCGTAGATAATTATATTCTCTTTCGTTTTTACGTTTTCTTTTTTTTAACAACGCGCTTCGGAACGCAGTCAGTGACAGTTAAAAATCAAGATTTTGGTCGACAGCTAGGAAATAGGAATGCGACGAAAGTAAAGTGATGTCGCGAGAGCTTCCGTCGGATAATCCTCTCCCGCCTCGCCGCAAAAATCTTTCACTGGTGATCCCATACGACGGCGGCGGCGCGTCGAAGATGCAGTCGCGACGTCTCCCGCATGCGTTGCAGCACTTGCGACACTTCGCCGGCAAGCGAAACGATTAATGTTTTGAGACCTGGATGAATATTCGCTCGGCTTCTCCGCCCCTTCGGGATAGGTCGCGCACGGGCGCTGCCCCGCTGTCCCGTTACGTCGGCTATAAATACTGCTTTGTATGCATGCCGAGTGAGGCGGACCGCCAAGCACGGATAATAGGGAAGGAAGGAAGGACCCGGAGAAGCTACTTTGTCCCTTCGTCCTAGCTCCGGCGGCTTCCCGTCTTCCCATCGCAACGCGCGCGCATGCATCGATAACGTCGTAACGTAATAACGCAAAGCTGCTCTCGCGACGACGAGGACGACGAGGACGACGGCGCGTCGGTTCGTGTCCGCCCGCCACACCTCTAATTATAATTATCAAAGGATTCACGGTGGCGGCGTCTCATACCTTGCGGACATTATTTTGATCCTTGCGTTACGGAGCTCGTTAATGGAGCGATTACCCGTATGCTCGTTACTCGTTACTCACAGCTATTTTCAGAAAATAACTCTATACTATAAAGTGAACGAACTTTCATCTAACGTCTATTACAAAAAAAAAATACTGTAGCAAAAATTACAATAAAGTTCATGTTATCCTGGGATACATGAACCGCAATATTTTCAAAAATATTATGAATGTTTTTATATTTTATTAAAAAATTATTGTAATTACTCAATATCTTTGAATTGATAGACCGATTTTGTTGAGGAAAACGCGCAACGCTGTTCAATGTCGTGGTGTGAATCTTATAGCGCTAAAAATTAATGCAACTTACCAGGAAATGTAGGTCAAGAAAGCTTGAGGTGGCAGAGTGCAGAAACGGCGAAAATTCTTCACTCCTTTTCCGCAAAAGAGGTAACGTGAAGAAAGGCCGGAACAAGGAGAACACGTAAAATTCTCGAAAATATCGATGCGAATAAAACTGCTGTCCATCAATCATGCCGTGACTATGTAAGCTGAAATGTCATGAAAAAAATAACTCGTTACTTTTATCAAATTTATTCAATTTTATGCAAAATTGCAAAGGAAAAAAATGCTAGAGTATCGTTGAGAAAAATCACATCTCTATTAAAAGTTTGCGTGCTTCTAAAAAATCCAAGGAATAAGAAACAAGAAAAGGACAAAGGAACTATTTCTTAAATATGCGAATTAATTATACAATTATGTCGCTTAACAGTAAAATGATTGCAAAATATCTCTACAATCCTCAGTTGAGATCTCTCCTTCCATCAAAACTTATATTGATTATCAAAGTTGCTTGCCATATTATTTGCATCTGAAAAATAGACGATGCACAATGAGATGGAACAATGTGAAATATAATACTTCCTACCGGGGCGATAATGAATATCAACCATCGGATATTAAAAAAAAAAGAATAAATAAAACACTACGCGAAAACTTCGTATTTCATTCTGTGTCACGTCCCGTCCACACCGGGCGCGGCGTTTTAGTATAATAGAAACGTCGGCACAATGCCCGTTACTCGGTATGACGATTTTTTTTGTTTTTTTTTATTCTTCCTTTTTTTTATTCCCTCGCCGACCTTTTCCGACAACCCGTCAAAGCAATCACCCATCGGCCGCGCGCACGTGTCCGACGCGAGCAGCACGTAAATTCACCGAAAAATCCAATTAATCTTAATCAAGAACCGATTGCACAAAAGTCGCGTACGAATTCCGCGCGGCGTCGATACCTCGGGATCGTCGATGCTTCCCGATCGCACGAAATTGATATTACGCGTGACAGAAACGCGCATTCCCGTGGTGAAGATCGACAGCTAAATACCGTTATCCGAGGGAACGGAACGCTGCAACCTCGCGAGCCGCATACATCTCACTGGCGCCGCTAAATACGCGGAACATAATAATAACATTATCATTTGAAACGGTTCGGTGGATTTATCGAAAAGCGGCTGCACTCTCGCGGGTCCGGCTGTTAAATAAACGCATGGATTTTGGATTTTTAATGAAAGCTCCGCGCGTTTCAGAAATCTCCCGATATTTCGCGAGAATTGCGTGGAATGTAGCGGTTTTGTGGAAGTGTAACTCTGTCGGCAGAAAATGTCGATAGTGCGATGGTTGTGAAAATAACTGTTTCCGACCATATTCTGTAACGAAAGCGACAAGAAAGAGAAAGAAGGGCTGGGAAAGGGTAAGTGAAATACGATGTAAAGGAACCAGCGAAGACAGCGGAGATATAACGCGGCGGTGTCCGGGGCTCAGGTTGCCGGCACAGATGGAGTGGAAAGAAACGTAATTACAAATAGTTCTACCTTTCGTCCACACCGCTTCCTGCCCACTAACTTTCGCCGGCCATTCGTTCTTTCCGAAGCTTTTCGCTCGAGAGAGGTACCGACTGAATTTGATAAATGGCGGTGCCGATCGACGGAGTTTCCGGTACAACAGGTAATTTCTGGAAACGTTCGGCTCGCTATCCCCACGTTTATTAGATCGAATCGTGTTCTTGACAACGAAGACCGATTTGCGTTACCGTGGAAACATATATCCGTGTATCGGAAGACTACCTGACTTTCTATTACTATAGCTCAATTATTTTTGCGAAACGTCTACTATATCCACGTCATTACTTGTTAAATTCGCGTGCGTTGCGAGAAAAATTATCGAAATATGTTAAATAACATATGTGCAGCACACAGTCTCATTTTGAGAGAAACCAGATTTGTTCGCAATTCAATGTTAAACTATATCGAATACGCGCTTACATGTGTATGAGTTGAGTAAGCGCGTTTTAATATAATAATGGCCCTCTATTTAATTAGTAAATAACGACTGATACAGTTCCGCTATCATAAATTAACATTACCCATTCTAGCTATTGCGTTAATTTAATGAGCGACGAGTTTGATTATTCGAGCGGCAACGGTTTCGTTTTCAGCACGATGCGTTTTAAGCAAATTACATTTTACGAGAATTCGATATGTTCCAAAAGGCAGCGAATTACCTGTCCGTGTGTTTACGGAACGTTATTTTAAATACTGAATCGTAATAAAAAGGTAATAATAAACGGAAATACATGATGCAGGACCGATGACGAGAGACGCGATCACGGCAGATATTACTTTTACCGTAAACTGATTTATCGACTATGATCATTCATTGCACATTTATTAAAACAACTCTCAATTAGCAGATTGTCTCTCTCTGCAAAATATGTTGCGAATAATTGGACATCCCCAGATGTTTCTTTCAGGAAATTTGATTAACTTTAATATTTGATTAAAGAATGAATACGACACATAAAATATTCGATACATTTGCGAGTGAGTGTTCTATCTAGTTACGCTGGTCGTTTTATTTTATTTTATTTTTTTTTGTTAGTGAAGATTATACTGACTGACTAAATAACATTGTTCATTTAATAAAGCCGAATGCTGCGGAGAAACGAGAGGAAACAGTGTTTTCAATTTTTACCCGTGTTTGTTTTAATTCATACTAAATGCGTAGTCGGCAGCGAAAAATGTTAAAGTATTTATACATAATTATTCCGCGACTGTAACATTTGCGTTTGCGTCCGCCCGTTTCTACGTTTTACTGTCCACCACTCTAATTCAATTATATTTTTCAAATTAGCTCGTCTCGCTATCGTGCGTGACATATTCAGGTAATCAGCGAGGAATCAACAGAACGGAAAGTGTTTCATTCAGTTACGGTCGTTAAATCTTCAACTAGCACGAAATCGCGTAATCGTGATTTATACGTGTTCCCGAGCTCGCTTAATCCCGCGATTGAAGTCAACGTCAAATCATCATCTTCGAAAATGTGATATTTTGACAGGCGCGTCGGCGATATTTTCGACGAAAATGTCGCAGTAATGGAAAAGCGGAAATGGTGTAATAATGCAGTACTGCTACCCGGCTGTCGGACAATAATCAGAGTCACTGTATTCACCATTTTGGATTTAAATCATCATCAAATACCTCCATGGCATACGACTGACGTCGCATTTCCGCTTCGCGTCTGGACAACTGTGTGATTAAGCTTTAGATATATCTCAATGTCATTTAGCGAATGGACATTTTGTAAGCTCCGTTCTATAGATATTGAATGTATAAATGTATAGTTTTCAGTAGCTCCTCTCAACATTATATATGCGGATCTCGCAAACATCGTGATTAATAACGCAACATTTATGGAAACATAAAAACTCTCAGTCAATCTTATAATATCTTTGCAGCAAAATTTATATAAAATTAGCGATTAAAATATTCATTGAAAGCTAGAAAATCAATTTTCGCAACGTTCTGTATTTTATGACATTGATATCGAGGAAGCCAAACACATTTTATCGATTTCTCCCGTAAAGATATCTTATCGTCTCCGCGACGTGGATTTGCGTCGCGAAAATTACGTAAACGACGGTGAGAGTGCACTGACGCGCAGAGCTCTCAATCCACTCTCATGCCGACGCAAATGAAATCTCATTAAAGAGCGCGCCACTCTCCTAAACGGCTGGTCCGAGCGCGACGAGGTCGACGTCCTGCGGGATTCCGGTCGCGCAAGACCAGCCCGGGAAGCCTCGGCATCCAGAGGAATTCGTCGCGCGGGACTTGCGTCGTTGACGACGATGCAAGTATTTGCTGATTGCGCCGAGGGCGACTTTATCGAGTTAGATGCAAACCGACCTTGCAAAATCGGGACTATCCACATAGGATCTCCAATTCCGTAACCACCGAGCCATCCCGCAGTTTCGACTCACAAGCCGTGCAGACAGGCAGGCAGGCTCGACCTGCTAGATCTCCTCGCTTGCTCTGTATACGCAGAATTAACGGTAGCAGCAGTCCTCTCTCTCTCTAGTCGGCCGAGAGAGCGCCGAGAGTGCTTCGTTAACTCGTGGAGATCCGCTGAAAGACGTGCCGAGGGTGCGAACAGAGAAGCGGGATTCCGATCTGGAGCAGCTGCTCCACAAGATGGGGTTACCGCACTACAACGAAATCATGATGATTCCTCCACCACGAGTATTCTTCGGCGAAACGCAGCGCCGACGTGGTCGTGAAAAAGAGACGCACGTGTTGCATCCACGAATAAAAGAAGTTACACATCGAAGCGTGTTCTTTTTTAAAAATTAAGTTACGATAAAAAGAAATGGAAGCTAACAAACTTCTGAGAAATCTGTAGGCGAGGAAATACTCTCGATTTTTTATTATAATTCGCATTTGAATTATAATTTTCTGATGACGTAATTATATTAGATACTATGTTATTCATTGTAATTTAAATAAAATGATATCCTTGATAAAATACATATGTACTTACTAGATTTAAAATTTTTCTTAAATTAACCAATAATGCGTTTCTGCAATTGCTCTATTGTTAATATTATGAAGCGCGATGCAACTTAAGATAAATTGATATTATTAGCGGTATCCGAAACTTCTTCCCGACTAGTTAACTACTCCTCGATTGGGATTATCTTATAGTATTTATAGAACGAAATCAGATAGCTCGTAAGGAATAAAACTTTCAAGGCGGAGAACAACGGAGCGAAACACACAAACGAACGAAGGTAAGAGAGTCAGTCGAGTCTCAAGGGGATGAGTAACGATTACTGAGTTTGAGCATCCACTCTGCCAAGTTGAAGAGAGAGCAAGAAAGAACGGGCAAAGGTTGAATGAGGATGCTCGTAGATTCCGTTAATTGCACTCGACCCTCGATCGAATCAAGTTTCTTCGTTGCTTGATTCTTGAGCGTCCGTGAAAATAAGTGTGACGAGCTGTCCTTTGTCTTTGTCCTCCGATTAATCACACGAAACCTTAATGCCAATTACCGTTCAATCATTCGTCCATTGTGTCGAGCTGAAGCTCGCAATAAATAGAAATCCACGCAAAAGAGAATTGCATGAAGTTGGCCTTTCCACTACTGAAAATCCACTAACGACCATTATCACTCGATTGTGGTCGTTTGGTAATATTTGGTAGTCCATTCCCGATAAATGG